GTGCTGAGTACACAGTAAGTAATAAATGTTAGTGTTCATTATTATTCTTTGTTGTGGTGTATTCTACTCTAAACTCTCAACTCCCAGTGTTCAGCTCCCAATCATGAAAAGAAAATTTCTTACATCCTCTAAAATTTTGAGATTTCCTTTGACCTAGGGCAAAGAGTTGGGGTGAGAAGAGTCTTGCACAAAATATTTTACAACGGGTAGAATATTAACATTCAGACAGCAGCTGGTCTGCAGGTGCTCTTATTAGTTTGGCCAAAGGGTCCAAGATTATCGATCTCAGTGACAGAACCCTACTGAATAGACGTTTCCATAGTGATAGACTCAGCAATCAGAGACCATGAAATCAACAATGTCCTCACAGATTTCTATTGGACTAATTTACTTTTAGTGGAAAATACTGTGATTCCTTGGAGATCTATGATGAAATCCCTTACGGGACATTGCTTGACAACCTTTGATTAAAAAGATGGGAGTAGCGAGACCCTTCTTAAAATTAAAGTTAAGAAAAACCATAATGTCTAACATTGGAGTACAAATAAGCTGCTACTTTTCAAATTTAACAGAAGGGTTTCTTTTTAAAATAAAATAGTTTGCAGAATTTAGTAGAACATCACACTACTGGCATTTTTATTTTCTATAAATAGAAAAATATTAGAAGAGGAAGAGCTCCTTAGGGGAGAAGGACTATTTAACTCTAGTAAAATATTCAAAATATTACATATGTAATTACCCTGATGCATCCACTCTTAACTTCTTGAAAGCAGTTTGTAGACTCTCCTCCTCTCCATCCTTGGCTTCAGATTTCATTGTGAAAGTTATTACCGTACTGTAGATGTTCCCGTTAATACTGAAAAAGAAAATAAGATGAGCAAAGTGAAAACGGGGGATTAAAAGTATACCTTTTATTGAAAATCTATATTCCTGTATCATTACTATAGAGAAGGAAAAAGTAATTTTTTATTTGTAAAAGGAAGTTTCAAGATTAGGAGAATATAGGTTTTATTTCTAAAGAAACAAATGAAATAATATAGAAAATATGCATCTATTACAACAGAATTTAAACTGTACAGATACTTGACAACATTCTACTACGTAGTTTTGGAAGCTACATTACCTAAAATCTATGTTTAGTATATTTTTAATGTGGGAGGGAATCTCTCCAGTCGCTAAAGTCTAGAAACCTATACACACATGACTTTCACATCAGAAGTAAAAAGGAAATGCTCAAACTATTAAACTCTGATTCGTTAAAATGCTGAGTATTCATCTAGTCTAACTCTAACAATTCCAGTTGAAAGTAACTTCATGATACATGACAGAATTTCTCAAAGCAATCCTGACTCAGATTTTCATATTCATGAAGACATGTTATACAAAACAAGCAGGATTAAAAACTTATTTCAATGATTATTGATTATTCCATACTCTGTGTATAAAAGCACTACCTTTTGTTTTTTGTTTCATAGCTTTCAATACTGTAAGTATTAAACAAAGCAAAAAAGAAAATAAATGAACTACACTTACAACTCGAAAAAGAACAGAATTTTTCTTTGGTCAAAGAAAGAGCAAGTCTATATATACACACACGTGTGTGCATATATGTTACTGTTCTGTAGGTTAACCTTTAAATGATTTCTTAATCAACTAGTTTGATTAGTCCACATTCCCCATTTTTTATGGCCTGATTTTTATATTTAAACAAAGAAAGGGGAACGAAAAACCAACTAAAACACAACAGAAAAATCTATTAATAAATTCCCGAATCTAGTCTCCTATTATTTTTTTCACTCAGGGTAATAAACTAGTATCAAATTCTGAACAAAAATAAGCAAACCAGTATCTATGATGACATATCACAGAGAATCAGAAGTAAAATAAAATGAGAAATAAAAGATAAAGTATTCTGGAAGAAAGGATTCACCTCACCTCTTTATTTCTACCTGTTACCCCCTACCCCATACCCCCACCCCCCATAGGCACTCTCAGAGAGAGCAGTGCCAGTCTAAGGACCCTTGGATCCTCTTTGAATTCCTATCTACTCATCTCTCAGGGGTGGGGTTGATGTCATTATGAGACCTCCAATATTCCAAAGTCATGGCGTCATAATATGCCTGACATACTGAAACCATGCAGTAACACAGCAGAATAAAAAAGTAAAATCAAAACTTTTCACTTCGTTCATGTGGAGAAGTTAAGGTATTTTAGGCAGATCTCCCTGCATTAAGAACCGTCTCAGGGATCAGCAGATGGTGTGGAAGTTAAGGCACTGGATTCCCACATGGCCAACTGCACGGAGCAAGTACTAGACCGGCGGCATAAAAATCACGCTGGGTGTGTGAGCGTGCGTGCCAAGACCCTGAGTGGAGAGTAGAGAAGGGATTTCAGCCTGGCCATCCCCATGAGGGGTGATTGCTTTTGCTTGCACGCTCTCGCTTGCTCGCTCGCTCGCTCTCTCTCTCTCTCTCTGGCAAATGCATCTACCCTATAGTAAAAACTTAAAAACAAAAACAACAGTCTCAAAAGAATTTAGCTCCCTTTCACCTCTACTTCTTAAGGCAAAAAATTTAAATATAGTCCCCACACACATTTTGCTGGTTTATTTAACCAGTACATGAACATAAAGGGACATTATCCATACATATCCACACATGCGTCCCCGCTCTCTAATTCTTTGAAGAACTAGAGTAGGATCTCCCCAAATGCGTAATAATGTCCTACACAGCTGGGAGGAGAACTAAACAGAGACCACACATTCTACTGTTACTGAAGCTTTTCAGTGACCTAAAGTGTGTAATCATAGGTTGTAAACAAATTCTTCCTGCTGGCAAAACTAAAAGCATCTAAGCCATTCTTCCCAACCTGTAAATGCCACACAAAGCCTCTTTGGGCCTCTCTCTGGAAATCAGTTGATATTTAAGTACATATCACATCTAAGTATACAGTGCTGAATTCTATAGGCAGAAATGAATTCCTTCCACAATTATTTACAGAATTCTTACCATGTGCTTGGTACTAGACTGGATGTTAGAGATGGCAGATGGAAACTGACACATAAAAGACCTGTGGGCTCCACTTCTTTAAGGACCAAAATCCCACTCCTGCCCTCCAGGAGTTTACAGAGTGCTAAACTCTGCACCCAGATATGTAACTTTTAATTACATGGTGCTGACTTAAAAGGAAGGCAGGTGATCGCTCTAGATTTTAATATAACCTTAGTCGACATTCTTGTTGACCCACTCAAAGATCATTTAAAAACCTAAACGAACCAAAATAAAAATCTGGCTACAGACTAAAACTTCAGGAATGCAGCTCTGTCTACAATTATTTTCAGACTTCCACGTTTTGATTATTCACTTTCTCAGTTATTTTAACCAAGAGCAAAGGTGAGTCCTGGGCATGACTTTAAGAGCTAGATCAGAGCCTGTTTGTAATTACAAACAGACTTACTACACTCCTCTGTAGTTCTCTAGAAATGCAGGCGCTGTACAATTAACTGTGGAGGACAGATATAATAGGTCTACCCTCCTTCATTCATAAAATTTGTGGGAGCCTTACTGGCCATTTCCACAGCACTAACTTCTTGAAGTTGAAAAATCCCCAAAGAGCTCAAACTTTTAAAAGCTTACGAGAAGTTACTTCGAGTTAAGTCAAATTATACCCGGCAATTTAACTCTATCCCTAATTTCCCCCAACCTTTAAAAAATGACAACGTTCTGCTATGTTCCTCCATCAAAAGGGCAGATTTCTCGTTTCCCTGACTTTCAACAAATAGTGTGTCACAATTTTATTTCTAGCTTGCCGTTTAACCAAAACCTCCTGAAACTTTAAGCCCAGGTCTACGTTTCCTGAAAAGACCTGAGAACGAAGAGTGAGAGATCCGTGCGTAGGCATGTCATCACAATGTCACAAGATTTCTAAACTTTCCCAGACCACCAGGAAGCGCGGAGTCTGAGAAAGAAAACTGTCCAGCAATTCGCTAAGAGGCAAATGAAACTGGGTTGAAACAATCAGCCCCCAAGGCAAAAAACACATTCACACCTCTCTCTGCACACCCACTCGACCCCTATACTTGCAGGACTACCGCCAAGCACGACGTGAATCCATTCCTCCAAATCTGGGTTTGTCGCGGTTTAAACAGGATTAGCGGGAAAGGAACCAATCTGCGCGTGGGGGCACCCCGAGCATGGAGACAACGGCGAGCGGGAGCTGTCCAGAGCCCTGGCTCTGCCTGCTCCGGGTCTCCAGCTAAAAGGCTGATCCCCGGGAGACTCCCCGGGCAAGGAGAGGCTAGGGTCGGACCGAGGCGCAGGGATGCGCTAGAAGAGCGAAGCGAAGCCGAGGCAGCCAACAAGAATGCGGCTCAGAGGCGAGCGAGAAAGGGCGGGAAGGGGCAAAAGGCGGCCGAGGAGGGCGAAAGGGGAAGCTACCGCTGGGCAGGAGACCGCGGGGAAGCCGGGCGGGGACCGCGGGAAGACAGGAAGGCGGGAAGCGCCGAGAGAGCAAAGCTCGGGCAAGTCCAGGCCGCGGCAGACGAGGGGGCGCGGAGAGGCCCAGGCCCGGCCCAGGCAGCCGGCGCCGGGAGACGGCGCGACGAGAAAACGGGCGGGGCCAGAAGCCGCTGGGGGCCCCCGTCAGGTCCGGGAACTTACCTCCTCGCAGCTGGGGCGCTCCGGTAATCCGGACCCGTCAGTTCAGATCGTCTCTCCCGTATCGCGGCGCTTGACTGACCCGGATCCAAACCCGCGGAGGGGGCGGCCCGCGCCTCCGGAGTCGCACTGCGCCTGCGTCATTCAGGCACGTGCCCCGCCCTCTGCTCATGCTCCGCCCACCCCAGTGACTCGGCAGCGCGGCAGGCGGCGGCTGCGCAGGCGCGAGGCGACGCCGCACCTCTCTAACGCCCCGCACCCGCCTCTCCAAAGCACGTGCGCCCTACGTCATTTCCTGTTATTCTTTTCGCTCCCTCCTCCCGCTGGCGCGGGTTTGCTGTGTACCTGATCTTGGGGCGTGCCATCTTCCTCTTCTCTGTCAGGTGCAGTGAGTAGGTGGTATTCTTTGTAGGGGCCAAGTCGCCCTCCCTTCCCTAGTGTCTTCTTGTCCTCCACCTGGAGCCACCGAAGCAGCGGAATTCGGCGGTAGTGAGGGCAGGGCGCAGGAATCTCTCTGGCACCGACCCCCATGAGAGCACTTGGCAAGAATCTCCTTGATGCTAGAATCTGGATCTGCTGCAACATCTGCTGGACTCAGAAACCAGTTCTCGCCAGGGAATCTCTCCGAGTCCGCAGAGAAGAGGGAAGGTATTGGCGTGTCTAGGACCTTGAACTGAAACCAGAGTTGGAATTGAATTGGAATGTCTATGCATTTGATGTCTCTGGCAGCTGTTTTTCCCTGCCTAGGCTTCAGTTTTTCCATCTATTAAATGAGGAAGTTGGACTGTTTCGGTGAATCTCATTCTTTTTTTTTTTTTTTTCAGATGCGAATTCCTGCGAGAACATGGTTCAAGGAAAATACATTATTACTAAGAAAAGTAAGCTTGGATTTCAAAAAAAAAAAAGTCTCTGCTGCCTACTTGTTAGAACGTGTCTGAACAGAATCTAGTTTGAAGCACAGAGACATCAGTTTGAAAAGAAACCTTATCAGAGCAACATGCATCTGCTAAAACTGAAGCAATGACAAGCATCAAGCTTATAGTGAAGGCTGAGAAGTATAGTGAAATCATTGAAGCTTTACAAAAAGTTTACGGGGGCAATGTCTCCTAAAAATCAGCCGTTTACAAGTAGGCAGCTCTTTTTAAGAAGGGATTAAACAGTGTTGAAGGTGGCACCTACAGATGCAGACCATCTGCATCAATTTGTGAGGAAAATGTTAGTTTTGTTCGTCTATGCCCTGATAGAAGAGAATGGGCAGTTAACAACAAAAACAGTAGTTGACACCATAGACCTCTCGGTTCAACTTACACAGTTCTGACTGAAAAATTAAGGTTGAAAAAAAAATTTTGATTGAGGGGTGCCAAAACTATTGTGACCTGAACAGCTGCAGACAAAAGTAAAGTTTTTTTAAATATTTATTTCATTTTAAAGTGTATATTCTTCTTTAATTTGACCAGAGAAAGACTGTGAGAGATAGAAAACAGCGCATTAGAAAGCAAGCCACCAGGTCCGGAACTCAAACTGCAGTCGGCCAGGTGGGAGTCCAGTGCCTTAACCCCCAAACCACCTGCCAGCCCCAAAAGTAAAGCTTTTAATGGTTATTTTAAGCAAGAAGGATCTATATCTCAAAATATTTCTTCAAACAGTTATAGCAGGAGAGAATATACAGCTTTACAAGTATGATCCTGAAGACAGAGTATAATCAAAGCAGTGGCCACCAAGAGTGGAGTTCATCCAGTCAAAGCAAAACTGACCAGTCAAGACAAGGTTATAGCAACAGTTTTTGTTTGTTTATTTATTTATTCATTTATTTTTAAGGAGGTTTTTGCTTTAGGGGGGAGATAGAGACAGAAGGAAAGGGAGAAATCACCCCCCAAGAGAGATGGCTACACCACAGTCCCTTCTCCAGTCTCCTCCCAGAATTGGGCATGCATGCACGCAGACTTGGTGTGAGTTTCAAGCCACCAGGTCCAGGACTCAAACCACGGTTGGCCATGGTGAGTCCAGTGATGTAACTGCTACGCCATTTGCTGACCCCACAGCAACAATTTTGTGGGACATTTTGCCTTTTGACTTTCTGGAAGGCCAGAAAATAGCTGTATGTGCTTATGAAGGGAGTGTTTTGAGAAGATAGTCTAAAGCTTACACAGGAAAACACCTGAGAAAACAGTCCATCACAACAATGCTCCTGGACAGTTTTGTGAATTTGAATGAGAAATTAGTAGGCATTTACTTTACTGTCCTGATTTGACTTCTTTTGACTTTTTGTTTCTTAGTCTTAAAAAAATCTGTAAAGAGCTCCTATTTTTCTTTGGTAATAATGTGACAAAGACTGCATTGACATAGCTAAATTCCCGGGACCCTCAGTTGTTTAGGGATGGACTAAAATGCTGATGTCATCACTTACAAGAGTTTTAAATTGGTGGAGTTTAGGTTGAGAGACAAATTTTATATTTTTTATTTTTGTCTTTTAATTTCACTTTTCATGAACTTTTTTTTTTTTTGGAGAGATTTTCACTATAGGGCGCGTGCGCTCGCCAGACAGACAGACAGAGACATTAGAGACAGAAAGCGAGAAATCACCCCCCAGGGGGGTGGTCACGCCGCATTCCCTTCTCCTCCATTCTCCTCTCGGGATCTTGGGCACTCACGCACACGCGCCCGGCGTGAGTTTTAAGCCACCGGGTCCGGGACACGAACCGCGGTTGACTACGTGGGAGTCCAGCGACATAGCCATTATGCTAACTGCTGGTTCCCACTTTTCATGAACTTTTTGAAGTCTCCTCATAGATGCAGTCACCAGAGAAATGCACATACACACCAGATTTTGCAAAAAAGTTCAGTTCGTCTCAGCAGGTGATTTTTAGGGATCTTTCCATTTTTATGATCTGACAGTTGCTGAGTTGGCAGACAGGGAAGATGCAATCTAAGCAACATCTGCTAACCCCTCCACTCAGGACTGGTCTTACTGATAGAGCAGGCCCCTCCTTGCCTGCCCCTTTCCAGTTCCATACCTCCCTTTCTCAAAGTTTCATGGAAAAAGATGTTCTCCCTCAATAGAACTGTTTCCGGTACAGTCCTAGAGTGAGTGTTTTTCCCTGAGCCAGAACTCACCTCTTCCCACCCCCATGCCCCAGTATCATTTGTATCTTGGTTTCCAAGTGTTAGCTCATAACAATTTTCATAACCAACTTGTGATGATTTTAAGCAAATGGTCAGGTGCCAGGGAGCCATTTACCTCACTAGTCAGCCTCTTAGAAAATGATGGGGTGGGGGATGTCAGGGAGGCCAGTTAGAAGACCTTGGGGTCATTGGGGGACAGTCAGAATTGGAACCATGGCTGAAGGTCAGCTAGGGGATAGCAGGTTCTGGAGTGACTGGGGACTCAGGCAGATGTGCTGGGCAGAGATATTGGCTTGAGTGTAGCTATAGGTAGCCCCATTCTTGAAGACAGGAAATGCAAGGATGAGCTTGGGAAGTTTGGTTTTGGACATAAAGAGTTTAAGGAGCAGATAACGGATCAGGTCATGCAGTATCTTAAAGGCCATGGCATGGGATTTATCTTAAGATTTCTCCTAAAACTCCTGGGGATATGGAAGGGCAAGGAAAGACCAGATTTATTTTAGAAAGATTATTCCATTTCGGTGTGGGCTAACACCGCAATCCAGGCCTGGGGAGGCAGTGATCTGAAGATCAGGTGGCTGCAGGACGGAGAACAAGTTAGCAGATTGAAAAGTTGTGTGGATCAGGCTTTGTTGAAAGGTCACATGTGACTAGGAGGGGCCAGCAAGAGAAAGAGGACAATGACATTTTGCCTTCCAGTTTGAGAGACTGTTTCTAATTAAATTCTGTTGAACTCATTTGACAGGAAACAGAAGAAAAGCAACATTTAAATGGAGGGTTATAAAGGCAGTCAGTACTTTTATAGCTCTTACTATGTATCAGAAAACTCATTTTAATTCTCACAACAGTCCTCTGGGATCACTGTTATCATCTTCATTTTTCAGATGAGGAAACTGAAGCAAAGAAAAGGACTTAACTGAGACCACATAGCTAGTTAGTGGCAGAGCTAGGATTTGAACCTGCACAGTCTGCTCTCACCACCTCCCTGTGCTGAGATGTCTAAACAAAGAGATCAGTTTGGATAAGCTGAACTTGAGAGATCTGTAGGTGTCCAGGAGACAAGAAAATATATGGGTCTGAGGTACAAGTGGGAGATTGGGACAGGAAATGGAGTCCACATGGAAGAGTCCACATAAGGGAAGACACAAAAGAGGCTGAGGACCACTTAAGAGAGGGTGGGGGGACCAGCAGTTAGCATACTGGCTATGTCGCTGGACTCCCATGTAGCTGACCGTGGTTCAAGTCCCAGACCCGGTGGCTTAAACTCATGCCAGGCGTGTGTATGTGTGTGCCCAAGATCCCGAGAGGAGAATGGAAGAGAAGGGATTGTGGCATGGCCATCCCCCCTGGGGGGTGATTTCTCACCTTCTGTCTTTCTGTCTCTGTCTTTCTGGTGAGTGCACACACCCTATAGCTAAAACCTCTCCAAAATAAATAAATAAATAAAGAGAGGGTGGGAAACGATGAACGATGGAAGGAAAGCAGCCAGGGGAACCCTAGGAAGCAAACAAAGCACTCCAATTATGGGGAGAATGTACTACTCCCTCTTGCAAATGAATAAACTGGTATCTGATTTATAGCTCATCAATAAACATTTTTTGAGTCCATCCCGCTGAGTTTGATCAACTCTGGATACCCTGACAAAGTAGAGTTCCTGGACCCACAACCATGAAGACCTCCCTTGGATGGTGGTGGTCCTTCTTACTCTATTTTACCAGGAGATTCCACTTGGTAACCTTTTGGTTTTATTGGGCTTCTGGGTTTGCTTGTTTTATTATTTCTTTTCTCTCATGAGAGAGTTCACATGGGAGAGAGAGAGAGAGGTACCCTCAGTAGGGTCTCATCACACCACAATCTTCCCCCAGACCTCCAGCTATTCAGGATTTGGGCATACATGCTCAGTGTTTCAAGTTGACCAGGATCTGAACCCACCATCAGTCAAGTGGCTTCCAGCACAGCAGGTCAGTATGCTACTGCCTGCAGCACTGAGACTGGGACAGACTTCTGTTTTTTGTACCTCACTACACTGAAAGGCCTCTAGCTTCTCTCTGAACCCCCTGTTACCTTTGTCATCTCAGGTCCCCTCCTCTTGTCTGGTACTCCAGTAACACTTCACTTGGAACTTCTTTGGGTGCCTCCTTAAGTTACTGTTGGCCTTTTACTCATGACTTTCTTGTATTTCCAATTAGATTCTGAGTTTCTGAAAGGTAAAGGGCATCGGTTAGGTTTTCCCCTTGAATGTCCCTAAGTCCCCATCCCTCTCCCCCTCATTTAGGTTAAATGCTCCATCCGTGGGCTCCCATGATCTGTTACAGCCCATCAGAGCAGGGACTACATCTTCTGTCCCTGTGCCCTGCACAGTGTCTTCCACAGTGTATATTAAATTAACAAGTAAGCCAGAGAGTCCACCAGTCAATCAGCCAAGCATCTCATTTAGCAAAAAATTCCAGTTGCTCATTGGCTCTTTAGAACCAGGGGACTGTTGAGTCCCACTGACAGGCAATTTGAGCACCAGGACTTTCCACAACAGTCTTGTTTGGAAGGGCATAGGGAAGGGTTGGGAAGCTGGGGCCTGGCTGCTCTTGATTGCCATTCTCTCCATAACCCCAAAGAAACTGAGGTCTGTTATTTTATAGTTTGCTGGAAATGTTGGGGAACAGAATGGAGAGTGAATGACGACTTGGAGATACCTCCGTAAGTGGCCTGGCCATGCACCTACTTCTGAGCTGGTTCCCACTCAATCTGCCACAGCGGTAGATCAGAACTCCTGTTACTCCTCAGAGCCCAAGGGAGGGCATGGCTTCCCCATAGCCACTGGTCACCAGCAGAGGGAGCTAGAGGATCATAGGTTCTCTTCCCTTAATTGTGCCCAAGGCTGTCACCGTTGGCTTTCATATCTGTTAAAGATCCAGGGCTAGTGAATTGTCTTCTCCCTCGATTTTAAGCCATTTGAACTTTACAATTTAAGCTGTATGATGAAGATTGGAATGTGAAAGGCTGAGAAATAGATAAGAAGTACAGCCTCAGAAGGAAAGAATCTACCATTGCAGATACTAGATGAGAGTATTGTAGGGGTTTCTAGGGTTCTGTGTTCTTGATCTGAGGTTGCTTATAGATATATGTTCAGTTTTAATAAATCATCAAGCAGGCCAACCAGTGGCAAAGTCGTTAAGGCAACTGAATTCCGCATGGCTGACAGCATGGTTTGGCCCAGCGGCTTGAAAAAAACACCTGGGACATGTACCTGTCCATAATCCCAAGAGAAGAATGGAGGAAAAGGCATCGTGGTGATCTC